AACTGACAAATAAACATACGCTTTCGCTAATTTTCTAAACACAAACGCATTATTCTACATTTTTCTCGATTTTTTCCGATTTTCTCCGAATCTTGGTGAGAATTGTCGAAAGTGGGCGAAATTCGTCGGAATTCGTCGGAAATCGGATAAAACCGCAGAAAATCAGGGAAACGCATTAGAAACGGTATCAGCAATCCCTAAAGCCCCCGTACACGAGTTTTTACTCTGAGGGGACCGGCCTTAAGCGTTGACAATATGTGTAACTAATTTACGGATGCCCCCTCGCAAAAAATACCGTTAGATTTGGTGTCACACTGGAAATGCAAGTGTGTGAATGTCGCTCACCTGCAAGTGAGCGACATTCCATTCGTACACTTAGGGGGGTAAAGGTGTGAAAAAATTCACACGTTTACCCCCTCAAGTGTACGAAAGAAATGTCGCTCACCTGCAGGTGAGCGACATTCACACACTTGCATTTCCAGTGCAGCGGTACTCAAAACACCCGTACACGAGTTTTTACGTTGATAATAGCACTCCTTCTATTTTGGCGGGCTAATCAGGCCTTTTCGACCACTGTGCGTGGGGTTGCACCTCCAGGGGCTGCTCCAGAAGTGGCTGAAGGCGGCGGTTCACGGCCGTTGCGAAGGTGCGACGGTCTTGTACAGAGCAGTGGGGCCAACCATCTGAGACGACCCAAGCTGACATGATGTACGCACGTAACAGTTCAGAGCTCCGCTTTCGTGAGATGACTGCACGCCGAAACGCGAACAAGAACGCTATCCCGGTCAACCCAGACCCAGGGCACCCTTACCGGACGGCACCACTCTCAGGAGAGGGGTGAGTCTGTCCGCCGCGGTGGGGCCTCAACTCTGGGCCGAGAAGCCTTCAGCACCCGATAAGCCGAGTGAACCGGAGTGTGCCCAGGTGTAGCTGCTGGAGAGGGAGTTGTTTCAGCGGCATACACCAAAACATCAGCGCCCCTATCATACACCTGGGTTATAGCGGGCCGGCGTGGCAGCAACATGCGACATGCCCATGGAGGCGCCATATGGTGGCAAGTGATCTGGACGACATCGGCTGTGATGTATGGCTTCCAATCAGTCACCGTACCCCAGGGATCAACATCCGCTCCCTCGACAGACTGGGGTTGTCCTCCTGGGTAACAGAAATTAATATTATAATGTAGAAAAGCAGAAAATAAAATGATCAACTGCAAAGCTTTATTGACATCTGTTTGTATGTACTGGAGTATGATATTGATCTGTACGTTTGGTTTGGGGTGGGTGTCGTCCAAGATTACCTCGACACTTCCATTTCTTACAGCGTCGTCTTCATTCTAAAAGTGGAGGGAGTAAAAGAAAGTGAATTAGTAAAAAAATACCCAACAAGAAAAATACAGAAAATTGCCCATTATGTATGATTTTTACTTGTGAATTTGTCGCCTCATCCCTCTTGGATGGGAGGCTTTTTTCATCCGCCTGCTTTCTTTAGGAAAACCGTGTCACCTAGGAGTGGGTCATCTCCGCCTCCTGAGTGAGGAACAATACACATACACATAGTCCACTTACCAGTTAACTGGGCGATGGTCAGCACCGAAATGAGGTGCTCGGCTCGGCTGGGAGCGGGACTACGGATGAGAAATGTAGCAGTACAGCGCTTTCGCAATCGATGCGGGTATGAAGATTATGACAGTGCAAAGCGGTGCAAAACTTTGAGCTCTTCTTGTAAATCCTGCTCATTGCACTTTCACCGAATAACGCCCTCAGGCCCGCACTGTAAAACCTGCAAACATCGCGAATGCCCGCTCCAAAGTATGATCGTAAAACTAAAAAAAGTTGTTGGTGGTGACCGGGAGTCGTGCCCACGCCTGCCGTGCGAGCGGTCCCCGGACCAGCAGCGCTATCCACAGAGCCACGGCCGCTTCTCTGACGACGAGTCTCCGTGGCCTCGGTGTGAGCGGCGCCGGCGGCTTCACCCGCCGACGACGTAAAGGATTAATCTTGCAATAACGGCCAAACCGCTGGGTTTAGTGCAAAACACCTCAGATGCAAAAGTGACCGCCTCATCAATACGCATTAAACGAACCTGTGCCGGCGCCGATCCGAGCACCAGGGCGTAACGGAGGGGCACTTGTTCAAAACGAGTACTACTCCGTTCGGAAAAAAACGAGTTTTCTCGTAAACGGTATTAGATATCGACACGCGGTTTGCGGCGGACGATAGGTCTTGGCGGCGCGCGTATTTGCACCGCTTACACTCCCTACCTATTCTGCCGCCTTGTATGAGCAATTCGGACGGGTATCTGCGGAAAGTAGTTTTTCCGATATAACTCGAGAAGGGTCCGACAGACTTTGATCGGTCAGGGTGGCTTAGAGGTGTTTTGACCTGCCCGGCAACTTTTATAAGGAGGTGTTTTCCGAAATTCGGCACCCTTCCGTTACTTTTCAACGAGTAGTACCCTTTTTCGTTTATTTTTAACTGATGTACCCATCTTATGTCAATGCGGGTAATTGTAGTCCTCTACTGTCAAACTAAGAAAGCGAACGCAAAAAACCCCATCTCGATAGCACCTACCATTACGTCTAGGGTGCAGTTGCACGTCTTGCTTGAAAGTGGCCCACGCGCTCACTTCAAGCAGAGTTGCTTGAAACTCCAAGCAACCTGCTCGAAACTTTCAAGCAAGTGGAGCGAAACCGGCTTGCTTGAAATATTTCAAAGCAGCGCGCTTGAAATTCAAGCAGCGCGCTTGAAATTCAAGCAGAATAGTTTCCTGTGGCTGGCGCTGGGAGGTCCCCGGGCAGATTTCGGTTTCCCCGACACCCAGAGCCGGGCTGATCACGGGGTGACCCGCAGACGCGACGGACTGAATTTGGGACAGTCCGGCATGGCTGCGGACAAAGTGCGGGACTGCCCGTGGCCTCCGGGGCCCTTTCGGGCTGATTTTGGCAACTTCTTGGGGTAAATCTTTTTTAAACGGGCTCTCCTGAAGAAGTCCTACAGGAGGGAGACTATCTAAATTTAATTACAAGTAGCAATGCATGAAGTACCTGGAAATAATTCTCTTCACTATTTTTTTAAGCCCAGACTGCAGCATTAATTGTCTCTCCTGAAAAAGTCCTTCAGTGGCGAAAGAATTTCCATGACAACATCAACTGACAAGCTCCTGACAAGTAATGCAGTGCGAGTAGAATTAGACATCCCGCCGTAATCTGTGTATCCGGCAGGGAATCCAAGTAGAAGTTCAATGTCTCTAGAAAATAGATATTCTTCTTTCCCCTCGTACGTAACTGGCAACTTCCCTGATGAACTTTTCTGTCCAGCCCTATTTGTGGTGATGGTTTTGGCAATAGGTACCTGAGCTATGCGAACAAGACCTAAATATTCTTGGAGTAATTTTTTCCTTCCCTGGGGCTCCAAGCTATCATACACTACAGGTACATTACACCAGAACAGGCGCTTCCTTTTCGTGGCACTAAATCTGCTAGCTCATATTTGAAAGGGCTGGCAGCCCAGTTCCCTGCAAAATAAAAGGAAAATAATGTTGCTGTAACCTTCCCTGTCATTAATTTAAAAATAAATATACATGGGAGACACTCACTTTGACATGGTTGACTGAACATCCTTTTTTAAATGGGATGTGTTCTCAAATAACCAAAAGAACTTGTGTCCTTTTGCATCTGCAGCTGCCATCAGCTGGTTTCGAACACGGACATAGTCATAAAATAGGTAAGATTGCCCCGTTGGATCATTGAGGCCTTTGCCGAATGGATTTGCTCTGTAACAGGTAGCAAAAAAAACGTTACTTCACACAGCAAGCACATGAAAACATGACCTCACATTCCTGGATAAATTGCATACAAACTGATCTCCCCACAAGGGCTGCCTCCTAAGTAGTATAGATACCCCATCCTGCCGGGTCGCCATCTTTATCCCCCAATCTGCAGGGTACCCCAATCTGCCGGTTCCCCATTCTGCCATCTATCCAGAGCCTAACCCAACCTAAGGGTGGGTCTTATCAGCCCCTAACTCAACCTAGATCTTATCAGCCCCTAACACAACCCCTATCTTATCAGCCCCTAACACAACCTAACCTATCAAGGATTGTCGGAGGGGTGGGTCTTATCAACCCCTAACATAACCTATCGAGGATTGGCGGAGGGGCGTAAGTGATGGGGCCTAACATAACCTATCGAGGAT